CTGTTCCTGATCCCCAACAACTGCTCCTGGCCTCCATCAACTTTTCCTGATCTCCATCAACTGTCCCTGGCCTCCAACAACTGTCCCTGGCCTCCAACAACTGTTCCTGGCCTCCATCAACTGCTCCTGGCCTCCATCAACTGCTCCTGGCCTCCAACTGTTCCTGGCTTCCAACTGTTCCTGGCCTCCATCAACTGTTTCAGTCTCTCCTGGCTCTCCTCCCGGACCCTTCAAGGTGCCACTTGTCTACTGCGATAATTTGTAGTTTCCACAACAATTTGTTTTTCATGTTGACTCGCCCGAGGGGAGCAGCGGAGGAGGGGAGCAGCGGAGGAGGGGAGCAGCGGAGGAGGGGAGCAGCTGAGGAGGGGAGCAGCTGAGGAGGGGAGCAGCGGAGGAGGGGAACAGCAGAGTGAAGCAGCTGAGGGGAGCAGCGGAGGAGGGGAGCAGCGAAGGAGGGGAGCAGTGGAGGGGGGAGCAGCGGAGGAGGGGAGCAGCAGTGGAGGGGAGCAGCAGAGTGAAGCAGCGGGGGAGGGGAACAGCGGAGGAACTGAACAGCAGAGGAAGGGAACAGAGGGGAAGAGCAGAGAAGGGAACAGTGGAGGAAGGGAACAGCAGAGGGAAACATCGGAAGGGAACAGCGGAAGAGGGGACACAGCAGAGGGGAACAACTTAGGGAAACAGTGAAGTAGTGGAGGTGGGGAACAGTGGACAATGGGAACAACCGAGTAGGGTAACAGTGAGGTAGAGAAACAACGGAGGAACTAGAGAACAAGTGACCTGAGTGTTATCATGGTTAGTGTCTTCAACATTCCTTGTTTTGAAATTTCTAGTTTCCTGACCCACAGTTGTCCTTGCGATTATGATAATGACACTGTTGTGATCCTTGAAGGTGAGGGCTGACATGATCACTCGAAGGTCTCTCACATTAGCCTTACGCTCTGAGGGATCAGAGTTTATTTTATATTCCGATGCCGAAACTTGTCCTCACTGGTATCATCTGCAACGGATGATACTGAGCTGTGATTTATGTATCCGAGTTCCCTCTTATTATACTTTTGATTTTATTCGTTAGAAAATTAAATATCCACCTGCCCACATTTCCAATTCTTTTTTTGAACGCATATTGTAATTACACTATGATCATACTTGCCAAAGGCTTTTGTGAAGTCTGTGTACATATCTACATTTTGCTCGTCTTCCAAGGCATCTATGGGCATGTCGTAATAGTGAAGCAACTGCAAGAGACAGGAGCGACCTGCTCTACACCCATACTGTCCTGGGTTGTGCGACTCTTGAAATTCCATGTGACAGCAATCTAGCTTCTTCAGACTCTCAAAAGAGTCTGATATGCGGGACGTCAGCACTATCGGTCTATAGGTCTTCTGCGATTACTTTACAGCCGTCTTTTTTGGGACTGGGGCTATGACAGTGATTTTTAAAGGACTGAGATGATTTCCCTGTCCAGACTCCTCCTCAGAACATTCAAGGCACGAGATAGTGGTTTCATGCAGTTCTTAATGACTATGGAGTTGGGCGAGTCTGAGCCCAGGGCAGAGCGCAGGGGCATGCGAGTCATGACATTTTCGAGGTAAGCTGGGTTATAGTTATGTCATAACTAAATGTTAGAGTTTTGAGTCTCAACCATGAAAAACTTATTCGGCTATACAGCTGTTATTCTTTAGAATAATGGTTCATTGAACATAGCGTCATAATATAACTTCCCACATTTCCATGTTGGCACGAGTATAGGTTCCAGCTCCAATACTGGATGTGGCTTTCAGAGATGGATTTTTACATATGAGAAATATTTAGATTTCTCTTAATTTAATTTATAGATTTTCGTCCCTCTGCCTCTCCTGGGCTTTGTGTTATACATTTAGTTTGAACTCATTATTTTCCATTTCCCTGGTTAATGTTCCTTTCCGTTCTTCAGAAAGTCTGTAGCATTGTGAAGCTCTATAATTCTCAGTCTTCGCCTGTAGAGGAAGAAACTCTCTTTTTAACTTGCATCATCTCCTTTTTCTTAATGTTACGTGTGTATGAAACACTTCTAGAGCCATGAAACACATCCTCTCCAGTTACGGTTTCAAGTCATATCAGTCATATTTTCTTTCCAGTATATTTTATCAAGGTCATGATTTATTTGCTCCCAGTTAATGTTTTTGTTGTTGAAACTAAATTATTTGTTTTTCCCACAATAATGTTTCGTACCAGATCTTCAATGTGAATATAAGGTTAAGGGTATTTTCTAGTCTGGTCGGTTCCACTATTTGCTGGCTTACGGTGAATTTGTTGCCGAGTCTTAAGAGGTCGCCTGTGAGACTTCATCTGGACTATAGCTCCTGGGATTTTTTGTCCATTACAGTCTGTGTTACATACTTCCCTTTTAGATGCCGTAAACTGAAATCTCCAAACAAGAAAATATTTGGAGTCGGGTTTGAAAGATTTTCAATAGATGATTTTCAAACTATTGGAAGTTGTGTTTGGTGGCTTATAAACAAGTACAATAAACAGATTCTGATTTTTTTTATTTACTTCCAAAACTTCAACATCATTTGTGGCATGAAGTAACTCAGTGAAAATGAGGGACTCTTAACGTACAGAATCACCACTTCCTTCCCTCGGTCTACTTTTTCTGTAGCATGATTGTACTCAAGCATCCATATTTCACTGTCAAAGTAATCTTTTACGTGCGTCTCTGTGAAAACCGCAAACAATGGATTTGACTCAGTCAGGAGTCTACTAATAAATGGTATCTTGTTATTGTTTTTTTGTTTTAAGACCTTGTATATTTACAAACATAAATGTTATATTATTCGTTGTTGTGCTTGGAGCTTTTGGGTTAGTCTTAATATCTGTGGCTTTGAGTCAGTCACTGGGTTTTGTTTCCAGTTCCATCATGGCTCCAAGGTGCAGCTACATTCTTATAATTTTTTTGCCATTCTTTTTTCGCTTCCTGGCACTAAAAAAATCACTGGTGTATGTTTAAGTGTCCCATGAAGCTGACTGTCCGCGAGGCCTTATTCGCCTCGTTCCCTTTCTGTGGAATATAGGACAAGTTGTATCATAACACTGTCTTACGTACTGTGGCTCGTGGCCTGGTTGTTCAACCATCAGTAAAATGGATACCTGGGTATTAGTCGACTGGTGTGGGTCGCATCCCGGGACAGAATTGACCTAATTTGTCCAAAATACTCTGCATAATAAGCGGCTTTCTATATAGTAGTATGTCATTGATGTCAGCTAGGACTGTATACTTTTTACATGTACCTGTAGAAATAAAGATATTTTAATTGCGACACACTTTTGCATGGAAGTATTTACAGGTCTTGGATCGACATACGCCTTTATTTACGAGACTGCGCATTCCTTTGGATTGTCTACCTGACATTTTCCATTTCTTGTATCAGTTGGTCCGTGTGTGCGAACCCACCATGAATGCCGGCACACTTGTATATGCTGGTGACTGTGGTCAGTTGGCTTTGCATGAGGCACTATTTCGTTTTCAGTACTTGCAACTGATTCGGATGATTCTGAATTAGTACCAGGGTTGGAGGCTGTGAGGAGAGTAATGTTGCCCTGTACTTCGTGTCTGTGATGTGTATCTTCCGCTGTGCACTCCGGCATGTCCATGTATTCAGCTGAACACAGCGCACACTCTGTACATCCTCTGGCGGTGTTGGCTGTGGTTGTAGTAGTGACAGTGATGGTGGTAGTAACTGTAGAATTGTTGTGCACCCCATATCCATTCATCCTGTGGATGGTAGTGGCTAGTTTACTGTGCACCCCATATCCATCCTGTGGATATGAGGTGCACAAGAGCATATACCGGCAGATACACAAAAGACCTAGAAACTAAGCCTCACAAGGAAGTACATCTGGATTTATATATCAAGTTCACTTATCTGTTGCAAAGAAATTTAGAATATTTACTGAATATGTCCGGTCTCTTGTTTTCATTAATAAAATAGCGCTGAATTGTTTATTGACCATGCAGTCAGCCTTACTAACCATTAAACTACACTGCATTTACTTTGATCATGTGTGTGTCTGCCGAACCGCCAGAAGTACTTGTAACCAAGCCTAAGTCTGGCTACTACAACATCAGTCAGTCTGTTCACATTGCAAACTGCTTCGTAAACATGCTTATCTACGTTCATGTTGTGATACTGAGTAACGGATTTACTCAGACTTCTAACATTCTCATTATTTACTTCTCACCTATTATTAATATTATTAATGCTAGACACAGATATACCAAACCAAAGTTATAGTCAACATTTTCCTTAAAGGTACTTTCTTTAGCTAACTTATCAACATTTATGAAGGAATAATTCAATGCGTGACGCATCCATAAGAATTATACATTAATTCCATTCTCTCTGAATTTTGTGTATCTATATCTGACTTCTCTAATGACTGTGATGTTAGAATCATTTCTGTGAATCAAGTGCCATTAGGATGGCAAACAATTCAGTTTGCAGTATCTTATCCCTACCTCAACATGGCTGTTATGGTTATCTAGGGAGGTGACAACAAGAGCAGATGCCGCCCTGCTAGAGTATATAATTTGAATTATATTATTACTAACAGTTTGGTGAGAATTTTTTTGAGTAATTACCTTTGGAAGTGATTTAAGAAAGGAATTACTAGTGATGAGTTTCTTGGGAGGGACTTTAGGATATGTGACAATAAATTAATAAAACTTCCGTGGAGGGGTGAAATGTTCTTGTTGTCTATAGTGAAGGTTATAAAACCTAACTATGTTTACATTCACTCAACCACATCAACAATGTTAAGTATTCACAAACTAGAGGAAAATAATAATACAGAAGAACAGTGCTGTGTTGTAACTCTCTTAAAGTGCTTGGAATGTTGCGACTGTGTTGCTTTGGAGGCTTCAAGACACGCAGAGAGATGAGTTAGGTGTTGAGAAGGGAGATGCAACACACATGTGTAATGCAACACATGTGTGTGATGCAACACAGAATAATTACCGTTACCAAGAAGCTGCACAGCGTTGAACAGTATCCAGTCTTGAAGGCACACTGAAAATTAGAAGTTCTTACTTCATCAGTGGGAAAAATATTGTGCAGTTGAACACTGTGTAAAACATTGTGTTTAGTGTAGCCATAGTTCCTGAGAACTGGTAGTGTTTAAGTGTGTTTATTGCAGTCACAGTTCCTGAGAAATGGGAACCAATACACAGGTGTGAATTGTAGATGTAATATACCATGATAGAAAACCAGTAAGACAGTACAGTATATAAGCACGTATACGAACACACACACAAAAAAAAAACACACAATCTCTCTCTTTCTATTCTCTCTTTCCTTCTCTCTCTCTCTCTTTTTCCCTCCCTCTCTTCTCTCTCTCACACACACACAAAAAAAAAGCACAACTGGTAAATTTATGGATACTTTTGAAGAAGCTATAGTAGTAATATATATGAGACTGAAGACGACATTTGTCAGGTCCATCTTGGAGTACACAGCACCAGTATGAGTCACATATCTGGTAAAGCATGTAAGAAAATTGGATAAAAAAAAACATACAAGAATTACAATGAGACTGGTTGCACAGCTATGAGGAGAAACTAGAGGAGCTAAACTTAAGACACTAGAGAACAGGACCTGGGGGTGACATGATTACGACATATAAAATACTGAGGGGGGGAATGATTTTCTGATGCCAATGAGGAGGCTCTTGATCCAAGGAAGTGGATGTCTCCCACTCAACGCCTCCTATTTTCCAGACGCTATGTGACCCCTACACGTACAAGGGCTTCCATATGCTTAACTTCACATTAACTTCGCATTCATTTGATGGTTACGTTCAAATTTTGCAGCAGTTCTTGTGCCTCAGCAAGATTCTCTGGTGTCAGTGTTCCAGTGTCAGTGTTCCAGTGTCAAGTGTTCCAGTGTCAGTGGTCCAGTGTCAGTGTTCCAGTGTCAGTGTTCCAGTGTCAAGTGTTCCAGTGTTAGTGTTCCAGTGTCAGTGTTCGTGTTAGTGTTCCAGTGTCAGTGTTCCAGTGTCAAGTGTTCCAGTGTCAGTGGTCCAGTGTCAGTGTTCCAGTGTCAAGTGTTCCAGTGTCAAGTGTTCCAGTGTCAAGTGTTACAGTGTCAGTGGTCCAGTGTCAGTGTTCCAGTGTCAGTGTTTGTCAAGTGTTCCAGTGTTAGCGTTCCAGTGTCAGTGTTCCAGTGTCAGTGTTCCAGTGTCAGTGTTCGTGTTAGTGTTCCAGTGTCAGTGTTCCAGTGTCAAGTGTTCCAGTGTTAGTGTTCCAGTGTCAGTGGTCCAGTGTCAAGTGTTCCAGTGTCAGTGGTCCAGTGTCAGTGTTCCAGTGTTAGCGTTCCAGTGTCAGTGTTCCAGTGTCAGTGGTCCAGTGTCAAGTGTTCCAGTGTCAAGTGTTCCAGTGTTAGTGTTCCAGTGTCAGTGTCAAGTGTTCCAGTGTTAGTGTTCCACTGTCTGTGTTCCAGTGTTAGTGATCCAGTGTTAGTGTTCCAGTGTCAGTGTTCCAGTGTTAGTGTTCCAGTGTCAGTGTTCCAGTGTCAAGTGTTCCAGTGTTAGCGTTCCAGTGTTAGTGTTCCAGTGTTAGTGTTCCAGTGTTAGTGGTCCAGTGTCAAGTGTTCCAGTGTTAGTGTTCCAGTGTCAGTGTTCCAGTGTCAAGTGTTCCAGTGTTAGTGTTCCAGTGTTAGTGTTCCAGTGTTAGTGTTCCAGTGTCAGTGTTCCAGTGTCAAGTGTTCCAGTGTTAGTGTTCCAGTGTCAAGTGTTCCAGTGTTAGCGTTCCAGTGTTAGTGTTCCAGTGTTAGTGTTCCAGTGTTAGTGTTCCAGTGTTAGTGTTCCAGTGTCAGTGTTCCAGTGTCAAGTGTTCCAGTGTCAGTGTTCCAGTGTTAGTGTTCCAGAAATTAATTCTTAACCAAACTACCATCACTCAGTAATAATGGTAGAATTACCCACAAAATTTTAAGCAAATAGACACATGCAATAAATGTAACCTTTTATTGTGGCAACGCTTCACTCTCCAGGAGCTTTGTCAATCTTGACAAAGCTCCTGGAGAGCGAAACGTTGCCACAATGCCACATTAGTTGCATCTGTGTCCATTTACCTAACACAGCTTCACTTCCAGTTCTTAAGTACATACGTTGTTTTATCTTGGTCATCTGAGTTACAATAACAACAAGACAGCAATCTGAAAATTAAATTAATATTCATCTTTGTTCACCTTGGAACACTAGTAAGTCGCTTCAGGTTCAACGTCCACCTCGGCTGTGTTCAAACCAGTTCACTTGCTCTAACTGCAATATTCAACATACCAGGAACACTGTTGTAATAAGATCACAGTAACTATATCACAATGTACAAAAACAACCTGTGAAAAAAGTAGTGAACTTCCAGGCGCTCTCATGACTTCTCACATTATTAAGGTCATTGATAATGCGAGAAATCACGAAAGCGTTTGGAAGTTTACTATTTTTTTTTCACAGTGGCTTTTATGTATATCAAAAACACTGTTCACCTGTTCTTACTGCAATATTCAACGTGCCAGAAACACTTTCAAAAAATTTTGAACTAGAATGTGACCCGCGTGCCAAGCGGGTATCAAAAAAAAAAAAAAAAAACTGAATTTAAGAATTCTAGATCTTACATCATAGAAAACTTAATCCTGAACTTGATAATAATTTGTAATAACTTCTTTATTTGGAAAATAATTATAATTTGTCCTGTTGTAGTTTGTGAGGCAGAGTCTTAATGTAGATATTTTTAAACATGTTTAATATTAATTAATATTTTAAAAAACATCGGCTAGTATTGGCAGTTTTTTCACCGATATCGTAAAAATAGTCGATACCAATACTACGGCACATGCCTAGTATATGCGTATATTATATATCAATAACAACACTGCGACTAGCTGGGGGAACGAATCCCTGTTGTTTCAGCCCGCCTCATGATGAGCGAAAATTCACGACGCTCTAACCCTTGGACCATCCAAGAATCATGTACCCAGCAGAGCTACATGTTGTTCTGTGATCTATGGACATACGATGGTGTGGGTGCCTTAGAGCTAATTTCCTTCTACTCCCCGTTTGGTGTACTACCCTCCACGAGCAGTATATATGGTATTGTAATCACGAACGACTGGTATTTAATCAATAACAACACTACGACTAGCCAGGGGATCGAACCCGCGTTGTTAACCCGCCTCACGGTGAGCGAAAATTCACGACGCTCTAACCCAATGGACCATAAAATCCTACAAAAATCGTCTATCATATGTCCTCGGATCATGGTACAAAACCTACCTCTGCTGGGTGCGTGATTTTTGTAGGATTGTGTGGTCCAGTGAGTTAGAGTGTCATGAATTTTCGCTCACCATGAGGCGGGCTGCAACAACACAGGTTCGATCCCCTGGCTTGTCGCAGTGTTGTTTTTAAATACCACTCGTTCATGGTTACAATAATATATATTATACCTAAAGTCAGTGCCGGATCAGCCGGGCTGTGGCTCGTACGTTGGACTGCGTGCGGCTAGCAGTAACAGCCTAGTTGATCAGGCCCTGATCCATCGGGAGGCCTGGTCATGGACCGGGCCGCGGGGGCGTTGATCCCCGGAATAACCTCCAGGTATATATATATATAATTAGTGCCGAATAGGTAAAACTGGTCAATTAGCAAGAGCTCATTTAAAATTAAGTCCTTTCAAAAAAATTTTCTTATACATTTATATATTCTTTCATTTATGTTAATATAAAAATGAATGATTTTGTACCAAAGAACCTTAGGAAATTTACCTAACCTTATTATAACAAGTGTAATTTAATTGATCTAAAACCAACTAAATATATTTTAGATAAGTTTACAATAATTTAATAATTAGCAAACAATGAAGTATATTTTTTCGTTATGTTCAGAATGATTTTTGAGAAATTATTACATACACAAATTTTCGCATGCTTTATACGGCAAGACGAGCTTTGCCATTTAAGCCAAAACAGCAAGTTTTACCTATTCGGCACGACACTCTGTGTGTGGTTGGGGGAGAGGGTAAAAAATAGTATTGAAGAGGTTGTTAGAGCCATGATTCAGCAGCAGAATAATTTTCTCGGTGATTCAAGGATGTAATGACAAAAGTGAGAACTCCTGCACTGCTCTCATACAGCTCTCTCAAGGCTCTCACATACGGCTCTCTCACGGCTCTCACATACGGTTCTCTCACGGCTCTCACATACGGCTCTCTCATGGCTCTCACATACGGCTCTCTCACGGCTCTCACATACGGCTCTCTCACGGCTCTCACATACGGCTCTCACATACGGCTCTCGCATACGGCTCTCACATACGGCTCTCTCAAGGCTCTCACATACGGCTCTCTCGAGGCTCTCACATACGGCTCTCACATACGGCTCTCTCATGGCTCTCATATACGGCTCTCTCATTGCTCTCACATACGGCTCTCTCAAGGCTCTCACATACGGCTCTCTCACGGCTCTCGCATACGGCTCTCACGGCTCTTCCATACGGCTCTCACAGCTCTCATGGTTCTCACATATGGCTCTCTCATGGCTCTCATATACGGCTCTCTCATGGCTCTCACATACGGCTCTCTCAAGGCTCTCACATACGGCTCTCTCACGGCTCTCGCATACGGCTCTCACGGCTCTTCCATACGGCTCTCTCACAGCTCTCATGGTTCTCACATACGGCTCTCTCATGACTCTCATATACGGCTCTCTCAAGGCTCTCACATACGGCTCTCTCATGGCTCTCACATACGGCTCTCTCATGGCTCTCACATACGTCTCTCACGGCTCTCACATACGGCTCTCTCACGGTTCTCTCATGGCTCCCACATAAGGCTGTCTCATAGCTCTCACGGCTCTCTCACTGCTTTCTCATGGCTCTCACAAACGGCTCTCTCACGGCTCTTACATACGGCTCTCATGGTTCTCACATACGGCTCTTTCATGGCTCTCACATACAGCTCTCTCATGGCTCACAATCACTGGTGCTGGGTACAACATTCTCAAATCACGATATTCTTTAAAAC